TGCCTTCCTGGGAGTGCGGGAAGGAGAGAGAGGACAGGGCTCTCAGCTGCAGGCGCCCCCAGCAGAGCCACATGGGGGCTGGGGACCAGAACCTCCCCCCACCGAGAGAAGCCAAGAGCTATGGATGGGAAATCATGGGTGAGTCACTTCTTCCCTCTCACCCACGGGCTCCCCAACTGCAGAAAGAAAAGCATGCCTGTGCGTACACATTTCATGCGAGATGAAATTCCTCATCTGTAAAATGGGGGCCAAAGCCACAGGTAGGAAGAACAAGTAACGTCATCCCTGTCTTGCAGGGGCAGAGCAGGCGAGGCTAAGCAATGGGCCCAAGGTCACACGGCCTGCAAGCACGTGCCTGACCCGCCGCCAGAGGTCATGACTCCGCGGTCAGTGCACTGACTCTCCGATGGCCCCAGCCCCACTGAAAGGGACCCAGTGATGATGGTGGCCGGCCTTCCATCCCAGGTGAGAAACCCGAGCCCAACAACCTCGGCTCAGCCCGGCTCAGACCACACAGTTGTACCCACAGCAGGGTCCGACTCTGGAGTTTTCAACCCTACCTTAGCCCACCTCTCCCAGCTCGGTGCCTGTGACCCAGGTGGGGGTAGGCGGGGTGGTAAATTGTGACTGGAGCACTTTAAGGGCTTCAAGTGGCCTTGGGCTCCAATGCAGGGTGACTGGCTTCTCTGGGGCATTTGGAGGGCCAAACACTGCTCTGCACCTCCTGTGAGGTCAGGGCCCTGACAAGAGCCAGTGCGTCCCAGCTCCCTCGGCCCTGGCCCCGAGAGCCGGGCACCCACACACACAGTCTCGATGGCACCTGTCCAGGCCCACAGCTGAGGCCCACGTCCCAGGCTCCCCTGGTAGCTGACGTCCTCAGCTGGTTGGGGATTTGCCAGCTCCTTCTAGCCCCACATACCACCCACAACATCTTCGAGCCTCAGGACCCCTTGGCAGAGCTAAACAGCTACTTAGCAGCCCCCCAAAAAGGAGTAGAACCTTCTCTGGACAGAGCAAAGCTGAGGACATGTGACATGGAGAGCATTTTGGGGTCAGGAGGAATCCACCTCACCTGGGAGCAACCCCCCCATTCCTGGTGTCTCAAGTGCTCTCTCGGGGTCCCTAGAGGGTGGGCCCACCGAGAGAGGAAGGGCAGGGACTGGGAGGAGACGGGACTGCCGGGGGTCGGCAGTGATGGAAGCTGGAAGGGAAACCAACCCGGAAATGATGGGAGGGGCAGGGAGGAGAGGACAGAGAGACCGACGGGGAGGGGCCCATGGCCTTAAATGGCAGGTGGCCAGGGGGACCAGGGAGGCAGGGACACCTGTAGGATTAAACAGTGACTGACCTCAGAGGTCTGCCCCATCACCAACATTTTCCGTCCCAAGAACACACAGTGCAAGTTCCATGTCCGGACCCCGCGGAGGGCGGGGAGGACCCCGGCCCCAGAGTCTCCAGGCACCTCACGTTCAAACTGCAGCATCACTAACGAAGGAATGCGGTGCGGCCGGGGACGGAGCCAGGAGGAGAGACGGTCCTCACCCAGCTTTCAAACCCTGGTCCAGCCCGGCTCCCGGAGTCCATCCGTCATTACGAATTAGTGTCTGCGGCAGTCGGTAATTACCCCGTGAGCCGCACAATTACACCTCACGGTACTTCTGCGCACGTTAAAAGTATCAATTTATTCAATGTAAACATTAAGAATATATATACCACCGGTTTTATAACTCTGTTTTGGCATTTTCATTTTTTGAAATACACAGAACTCCAGGAAAAAGCAGCAGCCTGGGGCCTCTCTCCAGCTCCTCGGAGAGGCCCCCGGAGTCCCTCTTTCCTGGGCACCTCGAATGTTACCCGTCTGATCTGAAGGGTCTATTTTGCTCTGAAGCTTTTGCAGGGCTGGGGGAGGCTTTGGAGAGATCCAGGAGGATGTCTCTTCCCCCTACCCCCACAACCAGCTTCTCAGGGCCAGAGAGTAAACATTCATTACAGCCTCCAGCCTGGGCCTCTCATTCTGGCCTCTGGGCGGACAAGGAGGGCCAGACCACACCACGGATGGACTCCCCACACTCCCCACCCTCCCCTCTTTTTTGGCATGTGTCCTCTGGGGTCCACCTCCAAGCGAGGACAGGGACAACCAGGGCAATCTGACCAGACCCGGGGGGTCAGGGTGGGGGCTAGGGAGCACGTCTGCTGGGGTGATGATTCAGGGTGGGGAGCTAGTCCTTCGGAGTGGGGGGGTTCTATAGCACATCCTGAGTCAGGGGATTTCTAAGGGTTCCTTGGGCTGCGGCACACAATTACCCCAAACACAAATATTTCTCTACAAGGTCCACACAACACCTGGGGGAATTCATCACCCCACATCTCCACCCCCATTGGCTCTCCTGGGGGGCTTAGCCTCCTAGCAGCTCAGGTGATGGGCAAACCTCCTCTTTCGGAGGGGGGGCTTTCCCCTTCAATCGGCAAGGCTAAGTAGAAACCGGCTGCGGGACACCTGGCAATGTGGGTGGAGGAACCCCAAGTTCACCATCCCAGCCAGCCCGGGCCCTGGGTGACCTTCAGGCTCCTCTTCAAGCCTTCCCAGGTTGATAATGCCGTGCCCACTTCTCTACCTATCTTCGACCAGACGGCAGGGGTGGCGGGGGGGGGGTTCTTCCTTTCGTCTCCTTTTAAACCAACTTGCTGCAAATAAACTTCCGTTTTCTAGCTTAGAGACCCTCAGTATTTACTCCCCTGGTCAAGACCAACACCCAGGATGAAGGCTCCCTAAGGGCTGTTAGGTGGGGGGAGGTCTCTCAAAATGCTCACTCAGGGGGCGCCTGGGTGGCTCACTCGGTGAAGTGCTCAACTCTTCATCTCGGCCCAGGTCTTGATCTCACAGTTATAGGTCTGAGCCCCACAATCAAAATAAAATAATTAAAAGTGCTCACTTCAGGGCCCCAAAGTAGTGCCCCCCCTCCACCTCCCAGAGTCAACCAGAGCACAGGAGCTGTGGCCAACCCAGGCAGCTTCCTTGTGCTCCACCACTAGGCCAGGGCCCGAATCTGAGGGTGCTGGGGTGCTTGGTGATCCCAAAGGGGAACCGCCCTCCGTTCCCACCCCACACACAGCCTAATCCGTCCTCTGCTCCTCCCACTCTCTGAGACTTGACAGGAAGAACAGGGACCAGAGGAGCTGTGAGCACCTCCTCCAGCTTCCAGGGGCCCTAAACACGCAGGGTTTCGTTTATCCCCCCTCCCACTCCATTGTCAGATGAGAACACCAGGGCCCAGAGAAGGACAGCGGCTTGCCCAGGGTCACACAGCCACAAATGGAGCTAGGATGAGAAGCCAAGTCTGTCCAGAATCGGGGCCCTTGACCTCCACGCTGAACTCAAGACAGGACTCAGCTCACTATGCTGGGGCTCAGATAAGGAATGAGGCCCAGCAAGGGCCGGTGACTTGGCTGACGCCAGAGAGCAAGTCAGCTGCTGAGCTCAAACGAGAACCCATGTCTCCTGGCTCCCAGGAAAATGCTTCTGGCCTTAGTCAGCAGCACCGTGTAGGGCCCAAGTTTCTGAAATGACCTTCCGGAAACAACCACCCCCCAGGATGAGAGCAGAGGTCTGGAATCCGGACAGCGGGGGTCTGCTAGCGATCCCTTCCTTGCCCTTGGTGTTAGAGCTGGGTGGCCAGATAAAGTCTGTGTCCAACTAAATTTGAATTTCAGCTAAGCGGCGGTTTTTAAAAACATAAGTAGGTCCCATAGGATATACTAAAAATAATTATTGTTGTTTACCTAAAATGCATACTTAACTGGGCGTCCGGTTTTCCCATTTGCTAAGCCGGGGAAATGCTACGTTAAAAGGACAGGAGAAAATGGGATCTCGGCTACCCACCCAGATCCGAGAGAACCAGCGCCATGCCAGGACTCCCAACAGGACTCAGAGCCAAGGTCTGGCCTCCAAGTGTCCTGGCTCCCCCTCCTCAGCCCTGTCACTGGGGCCCCAGGCCACTCTGAGCGGGGTTCAGAGGGTTTCTGGGACAGAGGCTCACCGGAGGCCAAGCGGGAAGGCAGACCCAGCATTCACAACCAGACTGGGACAGCACAGGAACTGAGACCCAGGAGGCAGTGGGAGCTCAAATCCCAACTTGTGACAGACTCCTCAGCCCCCACCTCCTCTGAGCCCCTTATCTGCAGGGGCTCCAGCTCCCTCTTATCCAGCAGGAGTGGAGTCCCTAAATAGTTCCAGACAGAATGGAGTCCACAGACAGTATCAGAGCTGGAAAGGCCCCCCGAGACCCCCAAGTCCAGCTCCCTCCATGGCCAGGTGAGGAAACTGAAGCCAGACCAGGTCCCTGGGACCCCGTCTGGGCACAGCCAGGACAGGTCAGAGACTTGAGCCAACAGGAGAAGCTGATTCTCCTGGGGCCCCTCAGATGTCACGCCTCAGGTGCCCCCTTCACCACCGGTACCGTCATCATTGCGGCAAACACAAGCCCGGGTCTTGTTCTAGGTTCTTGTCCTTTATTAACTCCTTGAATCATCCCTCTGACACTCCCCCCTGATCCCAATCACCCTGGCCGGCCTCCAAGGATCAAGCCGCCACACACCCCACACCTCCACCTCAGACAGAAGGGCTTTTGGCAAGAAAGAGAGAGAAACTCAGGGCGGCCCGGTCCTGCTCCCCGTCTTGAATACCAGTTCATTCTGGTGCCGCACACCAGCGCCTCTCTGATGTCAGAACACAGAGCCTGGGGCTCAGAGCTAGAACCCTGAGGCCAGAGACCCGACCCCAGGTGCCCAGGAGAGACAGAGCCCCAAGATGGGCCTGATACCCTAGCTCCTCCCTGATACCCAGGCTCTCCATCCAGGCCACCTGCTCCACACTCCAAACGACCTCCTACCAGCACCCTCTAGCATACTCAATGTGTCCAACGGGCACCCACCCCATGGCCTTGGGGTCCTCCGATGCAGCCCAGCACTCTACACCCAGACGGGTACCTCTGAGTTCTCACCTGTGAACGTCCACAGATGTCTCAACTCCCACCACACACACGGCATAGGTGGGCTTCTTGAGGGACAGCCTCACAGATCTCTGCGGGGCCATCCCGTGCCCCGGGCTCCCGGGCTCTGCTCTTCCTATCTCCCTGGCTCCTGTCCTGGGCACCAAGTCACCAGGAAGGAGCCTGCGTTCTGATGGGTCGGTGCTTTCCTCCTCCCTTTTAATTTCACCCTGTGACCTGATTAGCTGCCTAAACCGAGTCCCCACCTCCTGGCTCCCCGCCCAGCCCTCTCACTCAGGCCTGCCAATCCAGGAGGCCAGGGGAGGAGGCACCCCAGGTCTCTCAGAGAGATGGGAAATGGGGGTTTCCATTGGGGGCCCCGATGAAGCAGGGCTCAGCTGCCCCCGGAAGCTCCCCGTGGGCCCTGTCTCTCCTTCCCTAGCTTTGACTCCAGCCTCAGACCTCGGCGCTCGAACCCTCATGGTCACAACATCAGCACTTTCTGAGGGCCGATGACATGCCGGGTGCAGATCCCGATCTCACACATCCAAAGCATGGGGCAGTCAGACTCCAGGTTCAAATACCGGCTTGGCCTCTTACAACCTGTGACCTTGGACAGATGCTCCACCCTCCTGTGGCTTCCTCTCCCAGGAGTGACTGTACCTGCTCCATCGGACGGATGTGGGGATGCGTGAGCTACGCGTGCGAGGGTTAGCACAGGGCCTGACCCCCAGCATTCGCTGAAAGAAATGCTCACAACTCTTCTCGGTATCCTCGTTTTACAGGGAGGAGAGGACCCACTGTCAGTAGGAGGACAGCCACGGCTGACACCCAGGTCCTCCTGACTCACCAAATCACCCCCAGAAGCTGAAACTAGAGCCTTGTACCCCAACTCCAGAGATGGCCAGCCAGTGGGGAGGGCACCTCACAAGGCACTCAGAGCAAGGGGCTGGGGAGGCCTGATTCGTCCCTCAAAATCCCATCTTTGCAGCCCTCCTGTTCTCGGGGTGCTCATGGAACCCCGGTCGCTCACTTGACAAGCGTTTGCGGAGCACTTACTCTGCGGTGGGCACTCCTCTAGGTGATGGGGACACAGCCAAGAACCAAACAGACCACAGTCCCTGCTCCAATGGCATTGATACTCCGGGAGCCACCACAAGCTCTGAGATGATGGTGGCTTGGTCCTAGGGGCAACCATAACGGTGGGGAGGAGCAGTTGGGTTCTGAATGTCTCCTGAGGACAGGGCTAGGAAGGGATGCGGGCAGGCTGGGTGTGGGTGCGAGAGAAAGAGGGGAGTCGGGGATGACAGGAGTGCTTGGGCCGCAGCAGCTGGAAGGATAGAGCTGTCATCAGAGAGACGGGGAGGGCTAGGGGTGGGCAGGGGGCCCGGGGCCTCCCAGTTAGGAAGTGTCTATAAGGCCCGCAAGGACGGTAATGCTTTACGGGTGCCATGCTCCCATCATAGTGGGCAAAGAGGAGGAGGAGGAGGGGAGTTCCCTCGAGAGGCACTGGACACCCCTTCGGCCACGGGGTCCTCTTGCTCCCGGCCAGCCACTGCAGGGGCAGAATAAGGACGCACAACCAGGACTGCTGCCATCCACAGGTCTGGGGTGGGAGGATGCCAAAGAGAGAGGGGAAATGGAGCAGCACCCTCACCTGGGGAACTGCCAGTCTGACCAGGCAGGAGGGGGACACAGTTCCTGCTCCGGGAACCCCCTGTCCGAGGAGGAAGACGGGAAAAATAAAAATCATATAAGCATTTATGTGGTTACTTTTCACTTTGAAGATCTTCCTGAAATGTCTTTCTTAGGGCCAACACATCCAACGGCAAATGTTCCCCATCTACAAAGTTCTTTATACCCATTGGCACCGATGCAAAGTCTAGGTTTACCCCCATGGACACAGAGCCTAGCAACACAACACCCAAGGGGTTTCCACCCCCACTAAGCAGAACCCGAGCCATTTTGTTCATATGTAATGTAAAGTGGAGTGGAAAAAGTGGGCTCCCAGAGAGCACATGGGAATATTCCCGTTAAAGGAAGATGGATGGATGAATGGATGGATGGATGGATGGATGGATGGACAAACAGACATGAAAGAGGGAGGAGGGGAAGAAGGCAGGTTGGTGCATGAAGAGCTGTCTGCACAAATGAGGGTGATGGCGGTCACAATGGTGACAAGATGCTAGCAGACACCTGTTGGCCTCTGACCACGTGCTGGGCGCTGTTCTCACCCCCTTCCGTGTCATCACCCACCTAATCCTCACCACAATATTAGGTGGCAGGTAACAGCTAAGCCGGGAACCCAAGTTCAAACAGACCACAGCCTGGGTATACAGGACGTGCCTTTTGCGGGTTGTGGGTGGGGCAGGGGCCTCGGGCAGCTCACAGTCGCTTAAGGGAAATGTTCTCAGAGCTGGAGGAAAGAGGGAGGTAGTAGCAGAGAGTGGGCAGAGTAGCAGAGACTGAGAGGAACATCCGTGCATCCCCATTTCACAAAAAAAGTGAGGTACGGAAAAGCTAAGGGACCCTCTCAAGATCTGACCCTGGCCAGTGGTCGAGGCAGGATTTGAACCCAGGCCACGGGACCCTGGATTGGCTCTGAATTGTTGACTGGATCCCTGGGAGATAGAATATCAGGGTTCTTATGTTTTGTTTCATTTTGTTTCATTTTACCTTCTTCCTTATGCTTTTATATATTGTTTGAAAATTTTGGTAAGCTGATGTTTTTACTGTTAGAGAAAAAATGAAATCTGTCTTTAAGAAAAAATGAGGAGACTGGCCCCCCAGGTGGCTCAGTCGGTTAAGCATCTGCCTTCAGCTCAGGTCATGATCCCAGATCCTGGGATCGAGTCCCACATCGGGCTCCTGCTCGGCTGGGAGTCTCCTTCTCGCTCTCCGTCTCTGTGTGCCTGCGTGCTCGCTCCCTCTTAAATAAATAAATCTTGAAAAGAAGGAAGGAAGGAAGGAAGGAAGGAAGGAAGGAAGGAAGGAAGAATAAGTTTCCTGCTCTTGGCTTCCCTGTCCCCCTCCTTCTTTCCTCTGGCTCTAAGAACATGTCCCTTCAGACACCATGACCTGCCCGGGTTCCTGCCCTGCCCACAACCCACAAAAGGCACATGCTGTACACCCATGCTGTCATCTATTTGAACTTGGAACATCAGGCTTGATTGGTCAAATTTGGGAGGAGCAGGGGTAGGGGAGCTGAATGACATCACTGCCCCCCCTCCCCCCTGGCAAGGAGAACCTTCAGCTGGGAGGACATGCCCGGGTTAGCCTCAAACACAGCCCCTCGCAGGGGGAGAGGCCTGCCAGCTGCTGGGTGACCGTGGAACCCTCACATGACTCCAGGATGCCCCCGGAACAGCCCGGAGGCATGGCAGCAGAGAGGATGTCTGGTGCTGGTGCGACCATGTCCAGGGACTCATTTTCCCCATTCTCCAACGGTCATTTTGAGCTCCTGCCATGCACCAGACATTATTCTTGGTGCTGGTGATACAGTGGTGAATAAGACCAAGCCCCTGCCCTCATGGGACATACAGAGTAGCAAGAGAGACAGGGAATACACAGCAGGACAGACACTGGGGCGTCAGGAGGTGCTGAGACCCAGTGAAGCAGGTTAGAGGAGCAGAGGGGTGGGGTTCCGTTTGCATCAGCTGATCGGGGAAGGCTTGCTGGGGAAATGATGTTGGAGCACAGCTCTGAAGGGCAGACCTCACACGTCCCGTTTCCCCATTCAGAAGACAGGGCTCTGGAGCCAGCACCGAGCATCCAGACCGAGATGCCTTCAGAGGCTGGGCAGATAATAAATGTGGGAAGCCACCAGCTATAGCACCCAGGGAGGGGTACCAACTGTGGCAAAGGGAGTAACACAGGTAACACAGTTGCTTTGCCTAATGCATTAAAATTCAATATCTCTTAAAAACAGAATACTGTAGGTCAAGCCCATAGTGTCAGCAGATCTGGCCCTCGGGCCACTGTTTGAGACCCCAACTCGGACTATTTAAAAACTGGTGGATAAGGGCAGGGGAAGGAATAGTTCAGGTTGGGGAAGTCATTTGATGCCGAGGAGGGTAAACTACCTGGGCCCAGGGAAGCCTTGGTTGGCATGATCAGGCAAGGAATCTGCCGGCCTCCGGCCTTGCGAGCCTTCAGAATGGGTTCTGGGCCGTTTGTGATTTGCGGACATCAGCTGTGGGCTCCTCTCCTCGCGGGGAGGGATCCTCTTCAGCCCCCACGTGCCGCCTGTGCCTGAGCTTACGTAGGATGGCCATGGGGGGTGGCAGCAGAGCCCAGCTCTCTGGAGCCCCACACGTGGCCTTTCTCCGCTCCCGGCGCCCTCCGAGCACCACAGGCTCAGTTCCTCCTGCCTCCCACAATCCTCCCATTTCCAGCTGGAAAAGCCCCTAGAGTCCCTTAATTTTGCGGTACAGTAAACCAGGGCTCTGAGAAGAGATTTGACACACACAGGGCAACGTGGCAGAGTCATGGGAAGCCAAGTCCGGGTCCCAGGTTCTCAGTCATTCACTGGAGACGACGTGCCCTGGGTGTTCTGTGTACAGGTGCTGCTCTGGGCATCGGAGGGCTCACCACCCGTCGGGCCCTCGCAGCTCCTTACACTGACTCACTCCTCTGGGATCTCCCGGGGCAGGATCCTGGATCCCCTGTGGGCCTCAGGGGCTCTGACTCAACTATCGTGAGAAGGCAGGGGACCCACTGATTCCCGCAGGGCCAGAGGGCCTGCAGCCAGCGGCTCTAATAGCAGGAAGTGGCAAGGGCCATGAGTCACCCAACTCAGAGCCAGAAAGCCAGACCCAGGTCTCCGTTGGGCACCTCGGACCTTTGGGGATCGCTGACTCCCTCTCCAGCTCTGGAACATCCGAGGCTCCACATGGCATTAAGAGCATCACGTGCGGGGCTGGGCTGGGCACTAGGGGCTCGTGGTCAGGTGCAGCCAGCCCCACCCCCACAAGTGGCCAATTCAGCAGCCTCCCAGGCGCATCACCTCCTTCCCTGCCCCCCACTGGCTGTCTGCCCTCCCCCTCCCTGCCTCTCTCAGCAGATGGTGCCGCCTCCACCCCAGGTATACCAAGCACAGACCCAG